TGTCATGGCGCACCAAGTCACATTGGTTGGTTCCCGCCTCCAGTAGCATGGCGCAACAAGCCATATTGCTTGGTTCCCGCCTCCAGTGACATGGCACACCAAGCAACATTGGTTGGTTCTCGCCTCCAGTGTCATGGCGCACCAAGCCACATTGGTTGGTTCCCGCCTCAAGTATCATTGCACACCAAGCCACATTGGCTGGTTCCCGCCTCAAGTGTAATGGCGCACCAAGCCACATTGGTTGGTTCCCGCCTACAGTGTCTTGGTGCACCAAGCCACATTGGTTGGTTCCCGCCTCAACTGCAATGGCGCACCAAGCCACATTGGTTGGTTCCCGCCTCCAGTGTCATGGCGCACCAAGCCACATTGGCTCGTTCCGCCTAAAGTGTCATTGCACACCAAGGCGTATTGGTTGTTTCCCGCCTCAAGTGTCATGGCGCACCAGGCCACATTGGTTGTTTCCCGCCTCCAGTTTCACGGCGCACCAAAGCACATTGGTTGGTTCCCGCCTCAAGTGTCATCGTACACCAAACCACATTGGTTTGTTCCCGCCTCCAGTGTCATGGCGCACCAAGCCACATTGGTTGGTTCCCGCCTCAGTTGTCAGTGCGCACCAAGCCACTTTGGCTAGTTCCCGCAGCCAGTGCATAAGCGTACCAAGCCACATTCGTTGGTTCCCGCCTCAATTGTCATGGCGCACCAGGTCACATTGGTTGGTTCCCGCCTCAAGTATCATTGCACACCAAGCCACATTGGCTGGTTCCCGCCTCAAGTGTAATGGCGCACCAAGCCACATTGGTTGGTTCCCGCCTCCAGTGTCTTGGTGCACCAAGCCACATTGGTTGGTTCCCGCCTTCAATGTCATGGCGCACCAAGCCACATTGGTTGGTTCCCGCCTCAACTGTAATGACCCACCAAACCACATTGGTTGGTTCCCGCCTCCAGTGTCATAGCGCACCAAGCCACATTGGCTCGTTCCGCCTAAAGTGTCATTGCACACCAAGGCATATTGGTTGTTTCCCGCCTCAAGTGTCATGGCGCACCAGGCCGCATTGGTTGGTTCCCGCCTCAGTTGTCAGTGCGCACCAAGCCACTTTGGCTAGTTCCCGCAGCCATTGCGTAAGCGTACCAAGCCACATTGGTTGGTTCCTGTCTCAATTGTCATGGCGCACCAAGCCACATTGCTTGGTTCCCGCCTCCAGTGTCATGGCGCACCAAAGCACATTGGTTGGTTCCCGCCTCCAGTGTCGTGGTACACCAAACCACATTGGTTTGTTCCCGCCTCCAGTGTCGTGGCGCACCAAACCACATTGGTTGGTTCCCGCCTCCAGCGCACCAAGCCACAAGAGACCGATAAGTAGTAATGGTTACTTGTTACTTGCATCCTACTTACTTTTCGAAAGGAACGCCGGTAACCAGCAACGAACGACCTCATTACCTCGGGCGGGGACACGAGAGGGCGTCCAATCTAAATGGAACGTTTTGGAGTCGGTCGTGCTCTCTCACGTTAAGTCTATTGCTAAACAATTCAAGCGATAACCAGTTTGACGCCACTGGTTGCTTGCTGAAGTGAGTTCTACGCGTGTTTTTATTGCATTCAAAATTGATCACTAGTACTAAGAATGAAATATCAACGTGCTTCTACATTCTCCATAAATTTCGTAACTTTCTATGGTCACGTGAAAGAAGAAACCTGTGGTTACTTTCAACAGTTTGCTGAGTCGGCTCAAAAACGTGGCACAATTTTAATGAAAAGACGAGGTTGTCATTGCTCAAACACCATTTGTTTATGGTGTTTGGGAGGGTAGACGTGATGACGAAACATCATTTTTGGGTTTTCCCGCTCTCTACAAGTGTAAACGGCCATTTGTGCATGAGGTCTATTGTCACAATTCACACGTAGTAAACAACGAATTTGATTGCTAACCTGATAATAAAAGCTCTCAGGAGCCACGTGACACTTGACGAAATAGTCGGATACCCATCGAATACCCTCCAGGGCGAAGTCCCATGCATTGGCCGCTCTGTAGGCATCTTCAAACAGGATCATACCCCAGGCTAGGTTAGTCAAGCTGGCAGCCATTGGCTGTCCAAATTTAACATGATCACCGGCTGTATCAAAGAGATAATTGTATTGAGCATTATGCTCACCTACATTTGGTCAACGAGGTAGTCGAGGGCAACACAATGTTTAAACACTTGTTCCAAACGAAGCTATCTAGTGGCAGTGATGTCAAAGCTGTTTGTTCTTTTTTGTAATATAAATCGGAAGGCAATAAATAATTAACCATAGTATCAATAACATCACACTCACAATCATACCATCCTCCTGTGAGATCTTCTCCATAAAATCCCTGGTCACCTAAAGCCGAATCACTTCTGTACGGTATACGATTTGTCGCTTCCGGTAGATCACCTGATCGCTGGGCTTCATAAAACCGAATCGATTGATGTATAACCTCGATATAGTCGTATCCCCCTGTTCAAGTAGAAACATAGTTCTAATAAAATAAATTGGTAGTGGGTCTCTGTTTCATCGTTTCCACGAGTTCCGAGTTTTTGCAGGAATTTCGGTTCAAATGGACACCTTTATTTATATCATTGCGTACGTACAATTTATATTTTGAAAAAAAAAATGACAAAAGGCTGGAAAAAGTATAAACTATTACCTGTTAATTCCAGATACTTGAGGCCTAAGAACAAAAATATTAATATTAATGTTTTGAAAATATTGTTAGGAAAGCAAGCGGGTATTTCAGGGTATTTTATTTCATTTCGAATTTCAATGTGAACTGATCTGGATTGAACGACGACAATCAATACACAACATTTGTTATTGTTGTTAGACAGAAACATCGTTCGAAATCTACAATATAAGAATCGAATGCCACAGAAAAGTTCTCTTTAGATAATGCCGATAATTCACCAAACTTTATTTGTAATTATTTTGACCTGGGAGCAAGTTTCTGTGTCACAGTAATTTAGGCATTGTTGTTGCGTAGTCATTGTCGGAAACGCGTTTGGTTTCCCTGTAATATTCGCGGCATTAGGCTTTATAATATAACAAGTATGTAAGGTATTAGCGCTTTGGACATTTTCCCTTAGAGTTCTATTGTAAGCTTATATCTAAAATGTGACTATACAAAAATAAAACGAAAATCGTACCGGCAACTGCAGACTGAAAACCTGCATTGAAATCGCACGTGACTTTATTTGTCTTTGAATCAGATCTGTCATCTACCCAGTTATCGTTGGCATCAGGTCCGCCGACAAGAGCACCATATAGAATTTGTGGGTTGGGATCAGGACTTAGAAATGTGGATTGATCACATGTGTTCGGCATATCAGGGCACGCACTAAAGATAATGTGAATAACTAATGTTAATAAAAACAATGTACTAAGCTTGCATAATATAATAATTACATGCCCAAATGGTAACGCATATTCTTTGCTCGTCATATTGGCTCGCATCGCATAATCATTTCATAAGGCATTTAAAAAGTATGAATTTGCATTTGAACATTTAAATGGCGGCAGTCGTCGCACCGCGTCCTGTTCGATATGGGGCTCATAGCGACGTATACAACGCGTGTAAAATACATTGTTTATTTACACGAAATTCGAACACGCGCTGCGCGACGACCACCGCGCTTTAAGTATGAACTAAAAATCATGGCTGAGCATCGCCACCTAAAATTGTTACCAATAGTCAGCACCATCTACAGCTATGTAGTTTTAATGTACCTTAACCTAAAGTTTTTTTTCGATAACTGTAATGTGTTGAGATTGACCACTTTTATTTATATAATATGAAGATATCGATTACGTCATATTCGATGTAGTTTAGTCAGGGTAGCGTTAACGAATTAGTTTACCTAGCTTTGTGCTTGGGGCGTTCAGGGGGATTTACCCCGTAACCAACCACGTAGCTGCGACCGGAATCTCCAAGCATGTATCGGATCTGAGTTTTTGCAAAATCTCTATGTGCAACTGGATTGATTCCCAAATCGGCTGCCACCAAAGCAAGAAAAGCTGTGTTTGCTGTAGGGAAAAACTTAATTTATTTTGTCAGGTTTTAAAAATAACGACAATACATATGTGACGAGATTATGACGTTATAATTATCACGAATGAAGCATGTTGCAAATGTAGTGAAAGCTTGGCTTAACACGGGGATATAACAATTCAGACTAGAAGACACTCCAAGAGAAAAAATCACCATCACATCTTTTGAAGAAGAAGAAGACCAAAATTAAGTCCTGATTTTTGTATTCACTCAGCGAATGAGACAATGAACCTGTCTGACAGTGATCAAGAATCCCTTTCTAATGAAGTCATTAATTTGAGTTGTCTGGCAAAGAATAATCATTTAAAACTAGAACTGTCCCAATGTCAAACCAATTCAATGTTACTCTTTCTGAAAGTGTCATGATAATACATCTATAATTGTTCGAAAGAATCGTTAAAAAAATCTGTATTTTCCAAACAATTGAACAGCCAGACCATTTTATGAGAATTCAATTATGTCATTTTGAGTAATGAATGAAAAATCATTATCAAAATGGGTGTTTCCATGGAAACCAAATTCACAACTTTACAATTCACAAGTCTAAATATTTAGTCATTATGTGAAGTTATATATTCAAGGTTGCAAGTAAAAACTGTAAATTATTCAAATTTAATCTAATCCAATCGATTGATTGTTTGTGTCACGTGCAATCCCTCCTTAAAAATTCATATCATTACCAATATATGATATATTAGTACATGTGTGAAGGGCATTCTTTCTTGAAAATTTCATGAAAATCCATCATTAACTTATAAATGAAAAGTCACCCGAAATGTCTGTCTAGTCCACATCGGCACCAAAATCAAGCAAATGGTGATGGTATCATGGACAACCCATTCTGAAATTCCATAAGAATTCATGCGTAGAGTTGTACATGAAAAGTTGGTGTTTCTGTAGCAACGGGTTGCACATCATTACATACATGGAATCAATTGTTCCATGTTTCAAGGGTAACCTCCTCTAAATATATCATTTCAAGGTGTCCTTTTTTTCAGTTTACAGCGGGTGATTTAGCGGGATATCATTTTATCATCCCTGTAAACTAGTTCAATACATGTGTGTTACTGATAACATTGAGTGCTATATTATTGTTTGTAAGGGGCATGATTCAATAAGATTCAGTAGAATGAGGGCGTCTCAGTGATGACGGCATGACGGTATACAAAGTTGCTTACCATAATTCAGTTGATGGATTTGTTTTAAAAATAGTCATTAAATAAAAACAAGGGTGGTTCATATTTTTATACAAATACCGTTGCGTATGCTGTATAGAGAAGGAATCAGTTTTTGTCCGCCAAGTCGACGGTAACAACTTGTGCAGGAACCCAGTGCGGTCCTTGCCAAATGAAATGTTAAAACATATTCTATAACTGTTTGACCAGTTTTTCTGCAGAAATGGGGGACAATTGCCGAAGATATTCAATGAACTGTCAGTTCTCGCTTTCTATGAAGATTGACGTAATTTATGTGCGAGTTGCTAGCGCTCTCATATATGCCAGGACACTTGTCATTTTACCAAAATCACTGTTGCTAGAAGAAACAGCAAGATTCATGCGTTTGCCATTATACTTTGGTCAAGTTATTCCTTGAAGTTGGCTTGAATTTCTGAATTGGTGAAGCAGTGGTTCGATGGCAATGGAATAAAATTATCCGGATAGGTCTTTACGAATACCCCGCGAGAAATCAACTGGACTGATGAGGCGCCATTTATTTGAATATGTGCTAGTAATTCACTAATTGATCGCCAAAATGAAACGCTTTATGGCGATCATTTTGAACTATATCAAAGGCCTTTTCGTTGTTCAAGGGCACACGTGCAAGAGTATCTATTGGTTCTATTTGCATAGGTAATGACATCACGAATGAGAGATATATTGATAAAATACGTCTATCGGGGATGGAGTATAACTACCCTATATTGATTACGTCATTGAGAGCTGAGTGTAGTCAAATAGAAAGCGCTATAGTGAGAATTTAGAGTAGGATTTGTGTTTACATGTTTTTTTTCAATATGTTTAATGCCGTTACACAGAGTGCGTTTTGTATTTTTATAGATGGAGCTTAGTTATGCAGCCGTTTAGTGATCTTTTTGTTTTTTTGTTTTTTAGTTTCCACCTGTTAGAATTGAGTTGCATAAGAAATTGCTACTCCACCAACCCGCAGGTAATCACTAATATTGTTACAGTATCGCTATCATGCATGAAACTTAAGTGAAAACACCATACAGGATTGCGATTATTAACCTGTTTAATGAAAAGACAGCGAAACCATACAGTGAAATTATATTAATTTCGATCATTCTCCAATAAATTTCGTTGTTTGCACGTTTGTATCGGACTGTATTATAGTATCGGCTTTGACAGTATATAGTTGCAAGTCGTTTTCAGATTCAGATTTTCTCACCAGTTTGGGTGATTTCGTTTATAACAGCTTGCGTGTGGGTATCGTTTTGAATGAGTGACTACCGTTACTCGTCGACGTGCTTAGACTTGCAGCTCAAGGCGTTGGCATTGCTGATATACGGGGGGGGACATTTCTTGGCATATTTCCCTTTTTGTGGACCTGTGACACGTAACGTAATCTCATCAGTTGACAAATAAATTCTGTAGGAACGGTCTTCATACATAACGACAAATCCGTCATCAAGTTTATCTTGATCACATAGCATGTAAGCTTGTCCCTGAAAGGACTTTACATGTAGTAGTCATAGTTTCTTGCACCCCATTATACTCAAAGTTTTGACAATTCTTCCAAAGCGAGTCGATTCTTTGCAAGAATGTCAGTAAGAATGAAGGGGCCCGACAACATTACTTTACTTGCCGGCTTAATTATCGGCTCCACATAAGTAAAATTATTGCCAATACCATACAAGTTCAACGAATCTAGAAAATGCATAACTTGACCATTAGCTCGTGAAGCAGCTACGATATTTCAACCATTACTAGGACATAGTTTCAATGCTCGCACCATTAAAAGGATTGACGTGCTGACTTGACTTGCGGCAGCCATCTTGGATGCCAGCGTGACAAATAGCCACAAAACACTGAGAAAACAAAACCAACTACAATTCTACAGATGTATGCCTGAATACCCAAGAGAAAGTACAAACAGAATCACTGGACACTCAGAAAGACGTCATTGACAAGCAGTGAGACTGATGTTTTCTAGAAAAGGAGAAGAAAGCTAAAAACTTCAGGAGCAATATATCAGCGTTTGGCATACATACATACGTACATACATACATACAGAGAAACAAGCAAACGCTGAAAAACACACAAGCTCCTTGACAGATGCAAATCTGCCACTTACTATTGATCATGGTTGACAGCTTTGGCATAGTAAATGGCGTCGAGAGACGAATTCAGTCGCATGGTACACAAGATATAGACACTATATAACACAGGTGCAATGATATATTTACTTGCCTGCATATCGTAAAGTTCCCCACTTATTTCTGTATGCCAAACCTTTAGGTGTACGCGGTACATTCCCTCCGGGCAACCATCTGTTCATATACGTGGTGATTGCAGTTTGATATCGCTGGTCTTGGTTGTACTCGTACAACAAAATCTGCGGCGATATGTAAGATAATTATTTGTTGACTTCTGTATACAATATGCGTTAGTCAATTTTTTTAACCTCGATCTTTTACTCAGCATACTCAGTTGTTCTTTATTAATGTTCTTTATGACCATACACGAAACATTCGGATTCACAGTTTCTTTGATCTCACGTGACTCTCTCTATATAATCTATCACGAAGAACGATATATAAGACATATGAAGGGAGAACTACCGGGTTACATGTCAAAGGATGGTTTATAACTTAAAATTCACACCAAGCCATCACATTCATGATTGATCACGTGGATATATTGTAATGACAATTGACGTGGTGATTATATTTGCACCACGGTGAGAATATTTAAACCGCGGTTTGAATATTTTCACCGAGGTGTAATTTAAAGTTGAAATGTCGTAAATTCGACATTATGCAGAAAATTATTCTCACCGCGGTCTAAATATTTCCACCGCGTAGAAACTTATTTGCACCGCGGTTTAAATATTGCCACCGCGGAGAAAATTATTTTCACCGCGGTTTAAATATTTCCACCGCGTAGAAAATTATTTGCACGCGGTTTAAATATTGCCACCGCGTAGAAAATTATTTGCACCGCGGTTTAAATATTTCCACCGCGTAGAAAATTATTCTCACCGCGGTTTAAATATTGCCACCACAGAG